CATTTCATAAGTGGATGAGCACTAGATCAGCTGTTAGGACAAAGGTTATAGCCCTTCATCTCACTATTTACAAATTCCAAACCTATTAAATTAGCTAAATGTGACCATGTTAGGAGTAAAAGAATGGAGGAAGCAAAGAACAAGAGGATGAATACAGCGTGAGCGTACAGACAAATAGCCAATCAGCAACAAGCACAAAGGTGCATTAACTATGACTAAGTCAGTGTTAAAGCCTAGGTTTAACAAGACAACATTTTTCTCAAAAGTACTTTCAACAAGTGACCCAGAAATAGAAATGTGCAGCACAGGACAGAATATTGAGCCCTTACAGGGGACTTCTGCAGATAAAGACACCCAGCCTCCACGGAAGAGGCTATGAGCAAGCAACTCAACTGATGGAGATACTCATGTTCACAGGAAAAGCCCACAAACAGTGAATTACAAATTAAACACACACACACACACACTGTGTTTTCCATGCCAGGCTAGCCGAGAAGCCCTGTGTTTTGAAAGTGGATCACAGAACCCCATATGCAGCACCTGTTACCATCCCCACACCTTACCGCCACACTCCCTGTTGAGAGAGATCTGGTTCATGTCAGAAAGCAGACCAGAAATAGAGATGTAGGAATAAGGAAGACATAGGCATTTGTAGCAAGTTGGTAAGTAGCAAACCCACTAATATCAAGTCAGTTCCTTCTCCTAGATCAGGATTCTTCTAGAGTCTTTGATCAAAATGCAAAAGTTTATGGTAATGGTAGCCATTTTTGTTTTAAAGAAATTGTCCCCTGTCTGTATTTATGAATGATACTGCCTAGTGACAAGCAGTAAGCCTGAAGGCATGCAGTTTGAGGCCACCAGCTGTTCCCCAGGAGAAGGATGGGCAGTCTCCTCCTGTATGATTAACTGGCTCTGAAAATTCACCAAAGAGTCCGCTATGGGTGTGTTCCAACTCGATGGTACACACTATTAACAATGTATTTAGAAAAAATCTTAGTATCCTATTTTGTATTCATTTGTTGTTACCTGAGTTCATGTGTTGTAAATCTGTTGCAACAAGAGGTAAAGGATTAGTTGAATGCCGTTTCCTGTCTTTGCATTAAATATAGAACTTGTTTATGGTGGTGTTTCAGCTATGGAGTGTGTGATAAATGCAATCTCGTGGTTGTTAAATCTGCTTTTCTCACATCACCATCCACAAGGGGGCAGTCACAGCTCTGTGCATGTCACCCTCCTTCCAGGACCCAATGGTAGAGAGCATCCTCTATCTGGAACCCACCAGAGAAAGGCGTTTTTGACCTTTCCGTGGTTCAAATGTGGTACTCTGAGTCAACTGTCAAACAGCTTTATTTTCTCTTCTCACTTAATGCAATTTCAAGTACCAGATTCCATTACAATTTCTGTAGCACTTCAAAGCTGTTAACATTTTTGCTGGCATCCAGGACTATCTGGGAAGTTTGGGGCTAATCTTCACATTGTTGCCGTGTACTGTCAAGTCAGACTGACCCATTGCTGACCCACTAGCGGGCTTTCAGAGGCCGTTAATCACATGGGAAGAGATTGCCCATTCTTCCCTAGAGGAGCAGATGGTGGATTCGAACTCATGCCTTTGGGATTGCAGTGCAGCTTCCTACCACTAGGCCATCAGAGCTCTCTGATCTTTGAGAGCGATGCATTTTCTTCAGAGAAGCTTTACGATTTGCAACTCTGGTGTTATAGAGGTTAAATCATCCTCTTGATAAATCATCTTAAGATTCCCCCCTCTCTCTCTCCCCTGTATTAGAAAATAATTGTTTTTTCGGGGGTAAGACTGAGAAAAACTGGATAAATTGTGTATACTGCACTGAAACAGCTGAGGGACTGAGTGATTTAAAAGCGATGTATGATAGGGTATTATGGTTATCACAAGAGTCCACAATTAAGGTTGCATAGTGGAATGTACTTGGGGCGGTGGGAGGGGTGCAGAAGATTGTGTACCAGGGAGGGAGTCTTTCTTTTACTTTTAAAAGAGAGGAGCGAACTAGAAGGAGGGGGGAGGGCTGGGCGGGTAGAGATGTGCAGCAATGAATGAATGGAAATCCAAATTCTCTGTAAATCATTAAAATTATTTTTTTTAAAAAAAAAGAAAATAATTGTTTTTTCCTCTTCTAAAACATCCAGATGGCCTTGGTGTCTTAACTGGTTTCATCTTTTCTGGATTAGTTGTTTTGCTGCTGCATTAACAAATTATCACAAATTTGGTTTATAAATGTCATTAATTGAATTGTGGATACCCCCCCAAAAAAAATTCATATCAACTTTGCTAGTCTCTTATCGTAACCTCTATGATATTAGGGAGCTCTGGTGGCCTAGTGGTGAGAATCTGTTCTGCAATCCTAAAGGTATGTGGTTCAAATCCACCATCTTCCAGTCAGTCTCCTCCCTTGCAATTAAATGCATCTGAAAACCCTCTGCAGGATCAGCTTTTATGACACCAGATTGGGTTAGAAGTAGTTATGTGATGTAATCATCCCTTATGATGTAATCTGAGATAAAGTCAGCCAATCTCCTGGAAAGGGATTAGGGAGGGATCCACACCCTTAAATCTGGTCACAACCCAATGTAACCGGAGTTGTTCTAGGGTGTGGCCTGTATCATCTTTTGTCCAGCAAGTGCTAAAAGGTGACAAAAGCAGGTAGTGACAAGGTAACTGACCAAAAAAGAGTGGCTTGTGTCCTTTAGATAACAGTGCTTGGGCTGAAAAACTCCCTGGCCTGAGAGAAACGGAGACAGACCTAGAGCTCACACCTGGAATGCATACTTCCAGCCTCCTAATGAACTGTGAGAAAGTAAACTTGCTAAAGCCATCTTCTTACGAGATCTCTGCTATCGCACACTAGGTATCTGTTGTCTGTTATCGTATGGTGTTTTCCAATTTATATACATACATAACATGTATTTATACACATACATGTTATATAGATAGATAGATATATTTATATATATATATAAATTGTTAGGTGCCATTGAGTTGGCAATAGCCCATAGCCATCCCTCTGGACAAGGGATCTGTATTCTGCCCAATCCTGTGCCATCCCCAGCACCCCTGGTGCCCTTGCACCCATTGTTACAGTCTCTGTGTCAGTCTCTCTCATTAAGAGCCTTTCCTCTCTTTCACTAGTCCCTCTACCTTTCCAAACACCAAGTCCTTTTCCAAGGACTGGGCTCTACTAACAACATGGCCCAAATATGTGAGATGAAGTTTCACTCTCCTTACCTGCAAGAGAAAGTGCAGCTAAGGGGCTCCTAAGACATACAGTTTGTTCTTTGGGCTGCCAATGAGATACTCTCTCCATACTCTCTCCAACACCATAACTCAGAGGCATTGATAAAGTCTGTCATTCTTAGTCATCGTCCAACTTTCATGTGCATAACAAGTAATTGAAAAGACTGGCTTGGATCAGATGCACCTTAATCTTTAAACTGACATCATTGCTCTTTGACACCTTAGAGAGGTCTTTGACAGCAAATTTTTCCAATACAGTATGTCTCTTAATTTCTTGACTGCTGTTACCAATTATACTGATTGTGGATCCAAGTAAGATAAAGTCATTGACAACTTCAATCTTTTCTCCGTCTCTCACAGTGTTGCCTATTAGCCCAGTGGTGAGGGTTTTTGTTTTGATATTAAGATATAATCCATATTGAAGTCTGTAGTCTTTGATCTTCTACAGCAAGTGTTTCATATCTACTTCACTTTCACAAGCAAAGTTTATAAACATGGGGTCTGGAAATCCCAATAGAAGGTCATAACCAGTGTTTTTATGTTTCTAGAAATATGAATTTGCTTTCTTATGATTTTGGGAATCAGATGCACCAAATGGACCTTACTGAGCTCAAACCAAGATGTCACAGGGCTGTGTCCTTCTAGAGGGGAATCTACTTTCTAACCTTTTGCATCTTCTAGAGATGGACTGCATTCCTTGACTCCGACCTCTCTTTCTCCACTATTAGAGGCATCAGTCTCAGGCTTATTTGATCTTAAGTGCCCTCTGTGCTCTCCTGACTCCCTCTTCCACTAGTAGGGACCCTTTGGCTCAGACTTGACCGTGTCTCAATGTCAGTTGATTAGCAACTTGAACTCTGACTAAAATCTTTAATTCTTTTGTCATTCACCCTAACATATCCCCATGTTCTGAGGAGGAAGACATGGGCATAGTGCTGTTGTTATGTACTGTCGAGTCTGAACCAACCCATAGCTGACCCTCTACCAGGTTTTCCGAGGCAGGAAATCACATAGGAAGAGATTGACTATCTCTCTCCCATGGAGCGAGCAGCTGGTGGATTTGAACTGCTTATCTGTGTAGGCAGTGCAGTTCCTTACCACCAAGCCACCAGAGATTGTACATCTATTTAATTACCTGCTGTCAAAGTCTCGAGTGTGTTTCCACTGCTCTGGCTTTCCCCAGACATTTGGTTATAGAGGAAGTACATTTTTATGGGGACACGACTGGCCTGCAGTGGTCATAGGAGAAGGACAGCCTCCATCATGTGGCTGGGTGAAGATGTTGAGGCTCTCTGGGTTTGGAGTGGTCTCTAGCTACAGGGTTCTCTAGTGTCATTTTTCTGGTCTGACTTCCTCAACTTTCTGGAAGCAGCCATCATCCCTTCACAGACATCCATGAGATTAATAGTCAAAGCTACTGTTCTCTATGCGGTTCTTGAGCCAGTGAGTGGGATTGTGGATATAAGGATTTCTGTAGCCTCTCCCATTTTCCCTGAGTTCCCTCCTTCACTCTGGTTTTTCTCTCATCTTAAGCATTGTTGAGAGTTTTTGAGCCATCATCATCATCCCTTCTTGATTCCCAGTGTGCTCATGGAGACCTCAGCATCTTCCTGTCTCTGGGTGTTTGGACACAAGGAGGCAAAAGCTTCATGCCCAGGCTGCCATCTCAGTCAAACGTCTGTGCTGCCACCGTAATAATGGAAACCCTTGACCTTGACTCTTCGTGTGTTTTCAGGGGACAAGCCACACAAGTGTGAGTTCTGCAACAAGTGCTTCAGCCGGAAGGACAACCTGGCCATGCACATGCGATGCCACACCAGCGTGAAGCCCCACAAGTGTCACCTCTGTGACTATGCTGCTGTGGACAGCAGCAGCCTCAAGAAGCACTTGCGGATCCATTCAGACGAGCGGCCGTACAAGTGCCAGCTCTGTCCCTACGCCAGCCGTAACTCCAGCCAGCTCACCGTCCACCTCCGCTCCCACACGGGTAAGCCTCCTGTCCTTTTTCACGTAACACCCCAGAAAACTAATTTCTTTTAGTGTAAGTAAGCACACGTGGAATTTGTGTGATGGTTGTGAGGTGTGAAGAGCTTTGGTGCTGCATTGGGTTAAGCTTTGGACTGCACATGGAAAGGTTGACAGTTCAAACCACCAGCCACTTTTCAGAAGAAAGAGGAAGCAGGCTGCTGACATAAAGATTGGTAACTTTGGGGAAGCTCTGGTGGCCTAGTGGCAAGAAGCTGCACTGCAATCCCAGAGATATGTGGTTTGAATCCACCGGATACTCTGCCGGAAAAGGAGGGACAATCTCCTCCTGTACCTGTCGGATCTGATTTGACAGTACACACACACACACAAAATTTAAAAAAAAAAAGATTGGTAACTTCGGAAACCCTGTGAGACAGTTACATTCTGTTCTATAAGGTTACTGTGAGTTAGGATTTTTTAGTAGGGAAAGTGTCTGGTTTTTCTGTTGCTAGGACATGTTACTTTCTTTCCTCCCCACTACCGGCACTCTGCAGGCCTCAACTCCCAGTAATTTGAGAGCAAAAGTAGCTATAACCAACTTTAGTTTCAGAATACATGCCAACTCATCATTGTTACTTTCATTAAAATATGCAACTCTAACAGCTGTGTTCTATAACTTAACTATATAGAGTGCAGCCAGAGAGAATTAGTACTTAAGACTGCAGTTAAGAAGTAAAGAAGGGATGTATCTCAAATAAGAGTCTGAGATAGAAGCTGGATGTTTCCATAAACTAAATTGATCTCTGTACAGTTTAATTCAGAAGGATGTTGCAAAACCTGTTAGAATGCAGTCAGGATTGTAAGGGGCTCTGATGGCCTAGTGAAGAGTGTGGTACACTATTAGTAATAAACTTCTAGAAGTTAGAGTTTGCAGATAATTAGTTTCATTCTCTCATGAGAGCTAATTGAAATAAGTTTAAAATATACCTTTAGGAGAACACAGAAGAACCAAGGTACAGGAACATGGGAGGTGTAAGTTCATAAGCAGATGAGAATTTTCACTGAATGTGATAAAAATAGCAAACAGATAGGCGTGTGCTGGCATTTGAAATTGATAGGTGGGGTAAGATGCTGTGTTTATCAGAGAAATGGGAGAAGGCCAGATGAGAGAACCGTCTTTTCCAGCAAACCTCTGGCTGGCCTGAAGCTCTGATCTTAGAAAACTCTCTGGCGAGGCCACAGAGCTCAGGGGAGAAAACTTACAAGCAAAGGAGGCCAATATACGCCCAATGGAAGGTGAAGCCTGTGACACCAGTCCACTCTTCCTGCAGCTATGAGGTCACTTAAACATTCTCAGTCATTTAAGGGGAAATGAGTAACTTAAATGGGCCAGGTCTTGTAAATCACTGATCTTGGAGGTAAGTGTGTGTTATTTGAGTAATAAAAAAGAATTCTTAGATTTTAATTATCATCCACCAACCCTGGCAAACATGTTACATCTAGGTAACTTTGTATGGAAAGTTAATGAGAACAGAAAATTAAATCAGGGTTCCTGGAACATAGAGTTAAAGAAATTCCGCAGAGATTGGAGGGGGGTCGGCATGGGATTAGGGAACTAAGGAAGAGTAAGAAGCTAGAAATCTGGTTTCTGACTAAATTTTGCAAAGAAAAACATAAATGAGAGACTCAAATGAGGAATGGGTACCTCCCAAATATGTGGACCACGTGTTTTCAAAGTTGAAGGATTTATGAGATGCCAAGCAGGTTGAAGGGAGCAAGCAGGGGAGACTGGTCATTCTCAATCATTGGTTGTTCAGCTTGTAGGAGACAGTGGGAAAGTGCCCTCAAACTTGGGAAATGAGGTTGCACTTGGAATTCTATACCCAGCCGAACTGTCTCAAGTGTGAGGGCAGAATTCACAAAGCTAGGCTTCCTCCCAAGACTTTACTCACAGCCACGATAGCAGTGCAAGTTATTGGAGGATGAACTCTTCCAGTGTACCGAGAAAAAGTTTGGAATGAGATATCTGGTATATGACTACATGAGTACCCAAATATAGCTGAGATTGCAATAAAAGGAAATATAGGGATAATGCTTATATGGAAAGTGTAAAAGAAGAAATCGAGCAGGTCCAGAATTCAGAAAATTAATAAGAAGTTCCACATAAAGGCTATGAAACAAGAGGCCTCATGACTTTGAGATGATTTTGTTGTTGTGTACTGTGGAGTCAGAACCCCCGTAGTTGACTCTTCAGCAGGTTTTCAGAGGCAGTTTAATCTCATGGGAAGAAAGTGCCCATCTTTCTCCCGTGGAGTAGCTGGTGGATTTGAACTGCATGCCTTTGGGATTGCAGCGCAGATTCTTACCTCGAGACCACCAGTTTCCTCATGAAATGTAGGATCCAGTAAAAATGTGGCATAAAATAAGCATTTGAGAGAAATCAATTAGCAAATGCTGAGGACACTATCAAACAGTCCAGGGCTGATAGTGAACCCTCAGGGAGGTCACTTATGGAAACCACTTTAGCCCACATAATACCATATGCCCAGTCACCATGTTAGGGCTCTGGTGGGGCAGTGGTTAAATGCTCAGAAGTTAACGAAAATGTTGACAGTTTGGATGGACTAGTTACTCAGTGGTGAAGAAGGACCTTCAGTCTACTCCCATGAAGGTCATAGCCTTAGAAACGTTTCCCTGTGGCAATTCTTCTCTACTGTCTGGCCACTATGAGTCGGAGTCAAGGCAGTGACACATAGCAACAACGACAGTCATAAATTATTTGTGGTTTGATTCCAAAGTTAAAATTAACTAGATAAGGTGGATTGATTCGGTGACTGGGATAATTGGATTGGGAGTGTCAGAGACAGTGCAATTGGCACAGGACAGAGCAGAGTTTAGGGCTGTTGTACATAGGGTCGCTATGAGTCGCAAGCGACTCGACGGCAC